CGTCGCGGCCTACCTCAGGGTATCCACCCGCCGCACACGCCTCATAACCCGAACGCGCCGCTGCCCGGCCAAGCTGTCGCGTACGCGCCCACGCAGGCATCGCCTCCACCAAAGACGACGCCAACCAAGACGACGCTGAAGGCCCTGCCCACAGTTCGAGACCATACGACCGACCAGCTGAACCCTAGCGGAGATGAATATCTGCCGCGCGAGATTGATGAGTTCGGAGAGAAAAAGGTCATGGCCAACGGCCAGCTGCTAGGAGGGCGGACCTACCGGTGCCGCACATTCCTGGTGCCAAACCGCGGCGATCGGCTGTTCATGTTGGCAACGGAGTGCGCCAGGGTCTTGGGATACCGAGACTCTTACCTCTTGTTCAATAAGAACCGATCACTTTTCAAGATCATTGCCAGCCAGCCTGAAAAGGATGAACTAGTGGCCCAGGAAATCCTCCCCTTCTCTTACCGATCGAGGCAGATTGCCATCGTTACGGCGCGGTCCATGTTCCGCCAATTCGGCAGTCGCGTCATCGAGAACGGACGCCGCGTCCGCGACGACTACTGGGAGACCAAGGCTCGAAAGCAAGGTTTTACCGAGGCTGACCCCGCGGGCGAGAAGCGGCCTGGACAAGCCAAAGCTCGCGAGGCTGCCGAGGCTCAGAATCAGGTCATGCTTGGCGGCCCTCAAGGTGAGATTGTCTATAGCAACGCGCCGGCCCAGTTCCCTGGCGCGCCGCAGCAGCCTCAGATTGTCCAGCCGGGCATGCTCGGGCCGGCTGGAGGATCGACCCGGATGCCTATGATCTCCCTGGGTACTGATCTCAGCGACACTCGCCCACGTGACTATAGCGTCAATTTCAAGGGAGGTCCTCGCCAGGAGATCACGGGACCACCGTACCAGGATTTGACGCGTCCAGCTCAGCCAGGCGAGATCAACCAACAGGCACACCATGCTGCTGAGTACAACAGGCAGGTCACGCAGAATCGTGAAAGGAGCAGCAACTACCTGCAGGACCACTGGCGTCGCCCACACGAACAGCCTCAATCAGCCAGCCTGCACCAGCAGCAACCCATCAGCACAACCGAAGCATCTGTACCAACGAGTCGGGCTGCTGTCCAGTCACCTCACACTTCCTCCGTGAACATGTCGCAGCCAGGTCTGGTTCCCAATCAGAGCCCTCAAATGGGACTATCGAACCCTCCTTACTCTCAGGCGATCCATGCCCAGAACCCTATTAGCCAAGCGCCGATGAGGGGCATGCCACAGAGCTCGCCGCAGCTGAACAACAGACCAACGTCACTGAGCTCAGGAGCGACCGGCAGTCTGTCTCAGTCCACTCCCAGCTACCCTTACCCAGGCGGCTCCGGGCAGATGTGGCCACAGCAGATGCCGCAGGCACATCAGCACTATCCTGGGTACACGACGCAAGGGCAGCAGCAGCAACAGCAGCAGCAGTCGCACCAGCAGCAGTCACCCGCTCCCCAGCCTCAACTCCGACAGCACTCATCCAGCGGCGTGCAGCCAGGCATGCAATTTTCCGGCATGCCGGGCATGAGCCAGGGTTATGGGTCGAACCAGGCCATTTACTCTGCCGAACAAACACCACGACAATACATGCCTCAGCCAAACCCGGGCGCCCCAGCCGTTAGCCAGGCATGGTCGAACCAACAGTCGCCTGGCGCGCAGTGGTGGGCCAACCAACCTCAATAGGCGCAACGCACACAAGTCATGATGAAGCAAACAACGGGCCGTTCCTCACGAGAGCCCGTGACCCCGCCATCTCGGGGTCGATTATTTATATACGCAAATGGTCAGAACACGATTTTCGGCCTTGTTCTCTTGGCTGCCGTATTTGGAGGATACCCCGGCATACATTTAGTGGTGGCTACTTTTTTGTTTGGTTGACCGATCGTCCTGGGAGTCTGCCCGATGCATTCATGCCGAGGATTGGGATAGAGGAGTTGGGCGGTTCTGGGGGGATGATAGGTTTCGATCGATTGCTGGGGCGGTCTTCCGTTCATGATGCGATACCGACTTGGCGACAACATACGGAAACCAGTGTCCCTCCTTCCGAGCGCTGTTGAGCTCATCCACAACCTCGACATGACTTCAGGTATATCGCTTTCATTCTTGTGCTATCTTGTGTGTCTTTTTTTCCTGCTTGATTTTGGCTTGGATTTCTTCTGCAATCCATTGTACCTTGTCTGAGATGCCAATGACGGTGCACGAGGATAGGGATGGATTGGTGTTGGCGAAGCAGGTCAACGCGGCCAGCGGCCAGATTGACCTGTAGCTGTCTTGCGCGCGGTGGCTTTCTGGGTGTTTTTCTTTCCATGCAAGGCAGCACATCCGCCTGCAATGGCCGTTTCTCTTTCTATGCCGCCTCTGCTTGTTCGGTTCTTCGTTTCTTAGGGCGGGATTCTTGCAGCATAGGAGGTGTTTTCGCTTTTTTCGCTGTGATTTTGGCCAGGATACCTTTTCAAATCGGATACACGTCGCAGCGAGAAGGGTAGAGAGGCCCTGTCTCTGTGTCGTTGTGCTTTTCTCGCTGGGTGAGGAGCAACTGTGTCCGGGGGCTTCTCTGCCTTTTTTTCCGTCTCTCTGTTTCTCACCTTTTGCTATTTCGTTCTTCAGTTTGATAGGGGGGTGGGCTGCCTAGGCTGCATGGGATACCTCAATGATGGGAATACGCTGATCAATTGCTCTTCATCCTTATTATGTATCTTGTGTATTTCCATTCGTGATTGTTGCTGTAGTTGGTGGATGCTGCTTGTAGACCAAACGTGAATCTACGTGTAGTCGACAACAAGAAGGATGTAGTTTCTGTTGCATTATCACGCTGGCAGCCTCGAAACCCAGAGCAGCCGCCCAGCATGTTGTGACGGATATAGAACAGGAGCTTGTTCCGTCCCTTTATCGTTGCTCTTCTTCGTCTTTAATCACTGTCATTGCCATCCAAGGCCTCGTCAGCCTCCTCCCGGTCAACCCTGTCCTCGTCTCCTTCCAGAGCATCGACCGTCTCGTCAGCCTCACTGTCCCCATCTTCTTCCTCCTCCTCCTCCTCATCGTCCTCTGCCTCCTCGTCGTCGTCCTCCGCCTCATCCGTCTCATCGCCGTCCTCGCCTTCCTCCTCCGCCGCCTCCTCCGGCTCCGTGTCGTCACCACCCGCCGCTCCGACCCCGCCAGCAGCAGCAGCAGCAGCGGCGGCGGCGGCGGCCGCCCCCGCCCCCACCGCGATCCTCGCCTTCTTGGCACGTGGCTGATCGCGCGCCTCGCCGCCGGTGGCAGCATCGCCGGTGGCGGCTGTGAACGTGTCGTCCGGCG